ACTGCTGTACAAGAGTAAAGAGCTTGAAAGGGTTCCGCGGGACTAAGGCCCTTTAATTTGCGGACACAGCAGCTGTCTTGCTGCAGATTGTCCCTGATCGGCTTGGCCTGTACTTTGCTCTCAGAGCGGTGCCAGTGCCATTGGCCCAGGTCGCATGCATGAACACCTTCTTGGGTGTGCTCAACATGCTCGCTGCCTGATACCTCACCTGCCAATCCTTGTTTCCAAGCACTTCATATAGATCATCAAACTAACAGGTTCAGCAGCCGTAGAACATGCCGTAAGATGGATTTATGACTTGTCTATGCGACATGTCAGGGCTGTCACGTAGGTCAGTTTCACACGAGGGCAAGCCATTTTTGAAACATGATGACAAGTCAGAAGGGAGCCTACTGTGTCGCTACTTGGAGGGCAGTTTTTGAACGCGGATTGAATGCTGATATGCGGCTGTCATACTAACTAGTGCTGCAGGTAGGCAACCTGCAAGTACAGCGGGTGAGGGTACTGTCCGCCACGAACCGACTAAAGTTTGTGCCAGTTGTCGGCCGCTGAGCTGCAAAGGTCGGCTTGGTTTGTGGGGGTATTGGGCTTTGATTAGTTACCAGGTTGTAACACATCTACACTCTACATCTTAAGTCCTTGATAGAACTTGGTCAATGCAGACTCTTGGCGCAGGCCGATTTTGTGAGTGCTCGTCTCACTTCAAAAGTTGCCTGAGACGAGTGTAACCGACAGCTTTGCTTCGGCATGACCGTATGATTGCGGTTGCTCACTTTCTGACAATGTGCCTGGCTGCCCAGCAGTCCAGACCTTCGGAAAAGCAACTCGGACGCACGAAGACAACACATAAAACTTTGCTTCGCAGTCTGCAACATTGCAACACCGTTCTGCAGCCACAACTTTTTCTATCTGTCTGCACCACCTGCGGCTCTGTTGCACGAGCACAGATGTCAGAAGCAATCTGTAGTCGACTACTGTAGTCTGTCTGTTGTTTTAGAGCCGCCCAGGTGACGAGCGGCATTTGAATGACCGGTGGGAGGAGCCAATGAAGCAAGGAACCTTCGCCGGAATCGCATTTTTTCCCAGTCGGCAGCTTAGATTGACGGTGCAACTGGTAGCATTTTGCTTGTCATGTGTTTTGATCCTTACCTGGTCCAAAGAAAGACCCGAGCTGAGGCTGCGGCCATGGATGTGATCACGCACAGAATTGCACAGAGTTCTTTGACAGATGCCAGGATCAAGTGATCATGTTTTAGCATGATGGCAGAGTGCACACAATGCAGCTGTCGCGAGTTGCAGCGCTTGAAGCTTCGGCTCTCCTTTGAAGAAGAGGGAAGCTGCATCTGTTCTCTTTTTGAGGTTCAGCTGTCGGGAGGTTTCTTGCTGGAAAGGGTAATATCAGCTGTATACATACGTATATTCTTATGATTTGTATGTGCATGTGATTACTATTTCACCAGCAGGAAGCCCTCAGTTGAGGAACCTTGGCCGTTTGGGCCCAGATCTGGGTTTCGTGAAGAAGCCGTGAAAAGCCTGCCCTGTATTGGACTGGCTAGATTCAGAAAAAGTCAACGCCACTTAAAGCAGAAGCATGTTGGACATGCTTAAGGCTAGCATTGGCATTCTCCGATCTTTGCTGGCAGAAACCTGGCTCTGAGTGGGATCGCTGCTAGATCCCAAAGGTGCAAGTGAAAGAGCACAGGGTAGGAGGTGTACAGCAACTTCTTTGACGCGTGGATTTCGAGCTGTTTCGAGAGTGCGTCCGCGACTAGCTCACCGCCGTTTGCTGAGGGATGTGATGGTCACAATCTCTCTAAGATCTGGGAGGGTTTTTTGGACATCCTGTTTGTTTGAAGTTCGGTAAGGCCCGTCACCTAATGACTTTTCCAGGCAATCTCAAACCTCCGACCAGAGCAGACCAGTTACAGCAAGCCACGTCAAGAGGACAAGCGGTGGAACCATGCTGATTGCTGAGGCCACAAAAGAGAAAATGTCAATTGAGCCCTTTTTGCATGGGGTGGAAGTGACCACAGCGACCACGCGGAGAGTTGCTATCGATTTGCATCCGCCGCAGCAGGCAAATTTTTCCTGGCTAACACGGACACATCCTGTCTTTTTTTGTGGTAGGTGTTTTTTAGGCTTTTCAGTTGAGGCAGTTTGACCTGAGCCCACTGCAGCTTGAAGACCCTGCAAAGCAGAACTCATGTCACAAGCGGATGCAGCTGGGGGCTGTGCCTTGGCAGACGCAAGGCTGGGAGCCCTGACCCTGGAAGTAAAGAACCACCATGGCGCTCTGCCCTTGTCTCACTTGTGCTAAATTGCTTGACTTGCAGTGCTGAAAGTCCTGCGTCCCAACCCCGTGCTATCATCGAGCTGCAAACCGCCTTATTCCTCCTGCATGGCCCGCCCAGAAATTCGCTTCAAACATTCTTCATGCCTCCTACGCCCTCAAAATTACATTATGTCAGACAAAAGATGAGTGGACGGGGGCAGCATGCCCACATCTTTCATCCTAGCTTTGCACGAGATTAGACCTAGCTTCTCTTCTTCCAGTTGGTCTTGCGAGCTCCCGTGTGGTCTGAACTGCTGTGACTCTGGTTGTATTCCTGTGTTCGTTGGCTCGCAACGGTGGAGTGTGGTGTTGGTTCCTGCCCTGATTATCAGGCAGTTAGTGGAACGTCGTGCATGCGCTATGTCTTTCGAAGCCGCATGCCCGCCCATTGATGTGTGATGTTCTTTTCAAGCGGTGAGGTGACATACCTGGCAGCCCTTCTCCTATCTCCTAGAATGCTAGCTTTGCGGATTTTGCGGGGCAGTTGCTGGGGGAACGTGTTTGCAGGCACGGATCGCCGTTCGATATGGAGGCTGTTCGCTGAGAGCTAGATATCAGATTCAAATGCGGCTGAATGCGGCTGTAGGATACAGCCCTCACCTTTGTGGCTCAGGCCGCGAAGAAGCCTCTCTTGCCGCTGCGCCCGGTGGATCGTGAGGAGACTTGCAATTGGTTCTTGCGGGAAGCTCCGGGTGTGCTTTTCCGAGGAGGTGCAGGACGCGGTGGCAAGTGGAGGAGGTCCCGAGGCCAGCTGTGCGGCCAGGCTGCATGGCGCCAATTGATGGCCTTGCCTTCAATCAGGATGCTGGTGGTCCCATCCAGCACGGAGATGCCAAGAAAGGGGCACAGGCAGAGAGTGCTCAGTAAGTTCTCTTGACTGATTCTTTTTTGAGGCTTCCTAGCTGGCCAGCTTCTTGCTTACGTTGATGATGCTTTGAACAAATCATGCTGACGGATCCTGGAGCCTGAGATTTTTTCCATTTGATGATGTCTGCACGCTCGTCTTGCGATTTGTCGCGATGTTGCGACTTCCCAACCTCCAGTAAACATTCCTTCTATGAGCAAGTGTCGCCAGTACCACAGCCGTCAAAACCTCCGAACCAGGGAAGGAGCCCAAGCTGAGGCGTGTTAGAAGCGGTCCTAACCCCTGAGCTGGAACCCAAGGCTAACCTACTGCAAACGCCCCCCAGTTGAACCCTGACAGCCAAACGATGCTACGGCCAATTCATTCGATAAGAAGTGGGCGTAGATGAGATGAGACACTGGAAGTTTCTTATTGGGGCACCCTGCAAAAAGCAATTTGAGATGGGCCCAGGGGTCTGAGCAGATTTCTGATCCGAAGGGCGGGCGGGCTGCAAGGGCTGGAGGGGCTGGAGGGGCCAGCCCTCGAGGTTGTCCAGCCCCTCCAGCCGCTCTAGCCCCGCCAGCTCCGGCCCCTCCAGCCCCTCCAGGCCATCCAGCTCCTCCAGCCCCTCCAGCTCCAGGTGCTTTGAAAGTTTTGAATTCGGCTCAGCTTGGACGCCGGGCTAAGAAATGTCAGCCTGGCCAGCCCCTGATTTCTTGTTTGGAACGATTTCTTTTTGAGCGCGTTCGCCGACTGAAGTCTCGCGAAGTCCTCAAGCGAAAGCTTCTGCAAGTTTGGCTCTTGCACTTTTAAGATCCGCACAGCACTTTCACTCCCTCGTCGTCCATCTGGCCAGCAGGAGTCTTCCGCAGCAGAGACGCTCTTGAGGCTGGGTTTGGTCTTGAAGACAAGCGTACAGGTGATCTCAAGCCACTGCCGCCGGCAAACATTCAGGAGCCTCGCTGAGGAGCCCTTCGAGACGGTCTTTGAGGTTGGATTTTGCTTGGTGGTTGTTGACGAACCCGCACTGCTTTCGCGAGAGCTTCGTGTGAGGACCCTTCCACAGTCCCTGGCCTTCCGTCGAATTCATGCCTGCTGCGGAATCTGGACACTGGTGAGGCCGCTGGAAGAAAAAGAAAAAGACACATTCAACAGAAAGTGGTTCTCGCCATTGTCAGTTTCCCTCCTTGCTTGTTTTGGATTTTCCTCTCACTAGCTCATTGCTTGGCATGCTTGGCTCCTTGCTGTCAGGTCAGACCCTTCGCGATGGACAACTTAACGCAAAGCTTTGCTGCTTTGCTGTGAGAGGGAGCCACAAAATCCAATGTAGAATTCGGAGCCCCCGAGCCTCAGGTCGGCTTCCCATCGGAGCCAAGTCGCCTGCATAAGGCCAAGCCCTGGCGGCATTGGTGGCTCCGAGCTCAGGCCAATGAACGCTTGCTTTCTGTGTCTTTGAACTTGTGGGTTCCAGGTCTGAAAAGAAGCGCAAGGCGCAAGCGCGAAAGCGGGGCTAAACTAAATGCATAGGCGGTGCTTGAAGCTGTGCCCTTGAAGGACGAGCGTTTGCTACAAGCTGCTGCTGAAGGCAACAGCAGGACTATCTTCGAGCTGATTCATCCCAATGATGGCGGCCCCCCAGCTAGTGTTCATTCCCACTGCAAATCAGGGGCCTTTTTGGGCAGAGGTCCCCTGCACTTGGCGGTGGCTTCGGGGGTGGTCGAAGCAGTTGAGGTCCTGCTTGCACAAGGTGCTGATGTGAATTTCTGCAGTAAGAAGACTCGTTTGACACCGTTGCATGTGGCCTCAGCCTATGGAAGTTCTGAGATGGTCGAACTGCTTCTGGAGGCAAGAGCGGATGCGCTGTCTAAGACAGAGGACCAGCAATTGGCTTTGCATTACGCCGCGGCGAATGGACATGCAGAGATTGCAAAGCTTTTGCTTCAGCACGATGGTTCAGACCAAGTCGGCGCTCGTAATGCCTTAGGGCAGAGACCTGTCGAGGCAGCATCCGATCTTGGAACCGTCTTCATTTTTCGGGCATTTGAAGCAGCCGTGCGATGCGAACCAAGTGGGAGCAGAAGGAACAGCGCCTCCAGCCAGGCAAGCACCGCAACGGGAAGCAGCTGCGACGGTCAAAGTGCAGTCGACATGTCCGGCCTGTCCTGCTCAGCATGTCTTGCTGATGATCAAGATGGCTATGCTGATCGCACTCCCCTCGCAAGCGGGTTTCTGCTCCGGAATGCCCGGACAGATGCAGTTCACCGGCTGATGCATTTGACCCGAAAGCTGGATGAGGCCTCCTTGTCCGAGGATAGGGATGGTCGCGATTGTCGGACGTTCAGCGCAAAGTCCTTCAAGGCGGCTTCTCCGAAAGATTCCCCCGGACGATCGCCGTCTGCCAGCAGTGGAACGAGCACTCCAAAGATCAGAACACCCTTTGCGCGAATGCGACAGGGCAGCTCTCGAGTGGAGAAGGTTGGGCCCAACTCTTTCGAGCTTGTGAACCTCCTTGGGCGTGGCTCATTCGGGGAAGTCTTTCAGGTTAAGCACAAACGCACAGGCAAGGCCTATGCCATGAAGGTGCTACAGAAGAGCCGAATCATGAGCAGCAACCTCCTTCGTTATGCAGTAACGGAGAGGAACATTCTGGCCTACATTCGCCACCCTTACATCGTTTCACTTCACTATGCCTTCCAGACTCCCAGCCACCTCGTGCTAGTGCTGCAGTATTGTCCCAGAGGGAACCTTCAGCGCAGCACCCAGCATTGCCTTGTGTTCCAATGGCTGGGCGAGCTTCCGCTGTGGTCTCTGAGGCACCTAATCACACGTGAGAAGCGGCTATGCGAAGATTTGTCCAGGGTCTACACAGTCCTTACCCTCAGGCAGACCCTATGATCACTGGCATTGATCGAAGTAGGGAAGCTCTTTTCCGTGTTGCATACTTAAGGCCGAGATTCTTCTAGCTTTGATTCACCTGCACGAGAGGTGGGGGGCAGAAAGGATTGCAATGAAAGAGCCTGCAGAGAGTGCAATCGGGGGAGTGCGTGAGGCACACGGTTTTCCGTGACCTGAAGCCCGTCGCTTTCCTCAGAGCTGACGCATCTCACGGCTGCTGTATCTGCTGAGTTCTGTTTCGCTCTGAGGACAATGTGGTCATCGACGAGGCGCACCATGCCTTGCTGACGGACTTCGGCCTCTCCAAGGCCTTGACCAGTGCCAGAGAACCAGGAATTTTTTCTTGAGAAATTACTGTCTTGCAGGAGGGGGTCGGCCAGCGTGGCACAAAGTCTTTCTGTGGCTCTGTCGCCTTTCTGGCTCCAGAGATTCTTCTGCGGAAAGGCCGTCCACTGCAATAATGACTGGGCTTCGGGACTTGCGCTCTCTTCAATAGGTCACAACCATACAGTTGACATCTACAACTTGGGCGTCTTGCTGTATGATATGCTCACCGGACTGCCTCCGCTGAAGTCTCAGAGCTCATGACTTCAATGGTAGACCCAGAATTGAGATTGCCTGCCACAGGTTCTATCACCATGACAGGGAAACTCTTTTTGCAAACATCAAGCATGCACGCTTGGAGGCGCTTTGTGTTCTTCAGCGGTAGGTGGATTTCAGAACGTAATCTGGGCAAGCACCGTGGCCGTCTGAAGGTGCCATTGTACGTGTCGCGCATCTCGCGCTCTTTCATTGAGGCTTTCAGCGCTACAGATTTAGCCCAAGAGCACTTCGCACGCTAAGCTTGCAAGGCAACCATGGAGAGGGAGCCAGCCAAGCGAATCGGTGCACACCATACCAGCGACGTAAAGGCTTCTTGGCAGTGATTCCGTGGTTTGGCGCCGCTTGCGCTCATGTGCAGGGCCACGTGTTCTTCGCCGACATTGACTTTGCCCAGCTCATGCGCCGTGAGGTGCTTGCAGTCGGGTTTGGGGGCAGTCATGCTACCCACCGTTCCAGTGTTAAGCTCTCAAGCTGTCAAGCTGTCAGGTACTTCCGCCAGAAGCCCATCCATCGGATGAGCCAGCGATCTCCTACAGGCGCCTCACACCAAACATCACCAAACACAATGCTGTGTTCTGCCCTGATGACATTGTGCAGCTTGACACTCTGGTCCAAGCAAGTCTATCCTAGTCGTGAATGCAGAGGAATGGCCCCCTGGGACTTGCGGGAAGAGCTCCAGAAAGCCCCTTTGCCAGAGCAGATCGTGGCTGGCGCGGCAGGTGCTGCATTTGTGCCGTTTGAGCAGAGCCAAAAAGCAATAGCTCAGCTCTTGAGATGCCAGGTATACTCGTGGGCAGGGTAGCGCCTCGGAGCGCGGCGTCGGGGCCTCGAGTTCGAGGTCCTTTCCTGTTGATCCTTTGGAGATTTCAGGTGCCTTTCTGGGACTTCTCCTTTGCCCCGCCAACCCGCTCCTCGGGTTCCGGACAGCTGTCTGCTGTCAGTGGGCCTGAGGACTCAGACTGCAGCACGAGTACATACACAAGGCCAGGCAGAAAAATGCATAAACGCATGTAAACGCGTTTCAAGACGCTTCGTGCTCCTGCAAGGCGAGGTGGTGTGGCCCAGAGAAGACCATCATCGCAATCCTCCCAGTCACAAGATGCTTAGTGGAAGGCATGGTCTCAGTGGTCTGAGGGGTGTCTGAATAAATGGAACGAGCACGTGCGAGTAGGCATCCTAGTGTTCGGCCCGCGCGATGCCAGCCGGCGCTGGGGGCCCCCACACTTGCTCAGTCAGATGTCTTCCCCCAAGCGTGTCATCCGACATGATTCCAACAGCGCTGCCATGCTTCCACGTGAATCTGTGAAATATTGTTCTGCTGACGCAGGGTTGCATGTGTTTGTCGTTTTCCGGGTGATTGCAAGGATGCAGGAGGTGTCAGCATTAGTAGTTTCAAGCAACATCTGCGTGAATTTGTGCATTGCAAAGGGATGGTGAATCCCTTTTCTGCCTTGAAAAGCTTGCCAACTCGCAGAGCTGGCGGTTAAGATCTTCGAGTTGTCTCCTGCAGAATCCCACTCATAAACTTGTTGACGGGAGAGGCGCCTCGCATCCGTTTGAGCAGGATACTTTGAGCATGCAAGGGTTAAACCAGGCTGCAGGGATGGCGCAGATGCGAAGGTGCTCGCGACATCTCGCGACTTGGGCTCCAATGTTGAGCCTCAGGCGCCAACTATCTCTCTGTCGACCCTGCAGGAGTGGGAGTGGCTTAGACATCTACCATTTTTTCAGCTTTTTTGTCCTTCCAAAGCCTGCTGCACAGAGCCGGTCACAAGATTTGACACTTGCAGTTGTTTGTTTTCTTTTTGGTGAGCATGTTTGATCAGTTCGACGCAGCTTGAATTCCTACTGCGGTCGCACCTCACAACAGATCATCGGTTTTGCACCTCAGCCAGTCACAGGCGTTTTGACTGTTGCTGGCATGCAGGCTTCGGGCTTGTTGGAGGTCTAGAGACAGAGGGTCTTGGACTCCTTACATGCCTGGCACCCGTCCAGGCGGTCTCAAATGGCTTGAGCCGCAGACCCTATCTGAGAGAATGTTGAAAGTCCTTGAGACTTGCTACAAGTTACAACTTATCATCACTTTGCAGAGCACGGTCTCAGGGCTAAGGTCGTTGTACCCCTGGCATATCTCAGGTACGCTGAGGCAAGAAGGCCCCTTTGAAAGTCTGATAATCCTTTCAGCCACGCTGCGGGACGCAGCCCAGTAACCTGGTACTGTACTGAAAGCTTGCGAGAGTATCCCGCACATGGCTCTCAGCGTGGCTGCTGGCCCGGTTCCCTCCACAAGTTGGGTGGAACAAGAGCCTTGATGACGGGATGCTCCAATGTTGTGATGGATATGGAGGCTGATGTTACCCTTATGTTGTTATGAGTTGATTGAGGGTAAGGGTTGGTGACTTTGTCAACTGTAGGGCGGGCAGCTTGCTGTTGTGCTTGGCACAGCGAGCTTGCCAACCAAGCTTGACCCCAGCAATCTGGAGCCCGGAGCTGCCTTGGGCCCTGACAAGCCCCACCGTAGTCCCGTACAGCACATTGCAACTTGGTGCCATATGAGCACAAGGCTTCGTGTAAGAGCTCCGAGTCCTTCGGTCCTCCTCGCTCCATCGTTCCTCAAGGACTGACACCACAGTTTAGTGGTCGCCAACGCCCAATGCTGGCTTTGCAAGTTGGGGCTGGCTTGAGGCAAGTGCTGTGAGCCGGGGCTCACGGCCTCCGAAGGAGAGGATGGTGCCTCCGAGCCAGACACTTTGGCCTTCGCAGCAAAAGTGCCCTCAACTTTGTTCGCCCTTGCAAGTGCTTGTTACTTGCTTGTGCTTTGACAGGCCTTGCTGCAGCTTGCGGGGGCTCATGAAGAGTGCAAAGTGTCATGATGCCAGTGAGCAAACGGGCATACAGCCACTCACGGATCTGCAAGCAATCCCATCTTCAGTCTGTGCTTTCTCTTCAAAGAGATTCCAGTAGCATGCCTCGCCTGAGACTTGGGTGAACTTCCACATTCGATGTTTTCGAAGTGTGCCTGCCCCAGTCACGGAAGGGAAGGACATACAGTAACAAGAAGCAGGCTGAGGCAAGTGTTCCTGTCGTCCCCTGCTCGTGCATTTTCTGGCAAGTTCCATGTTTAACTGCAGAGTAAAGCGGTTCTCAAAGATGCCGTGCACAAGCACGATAAATTCGTTGTTGCTTGTTCTGCGCTGGTGATGAACTTGTACATCGCTAAGTTCACCGTGGGCACTGGGAGCAAGAGCGCGCCCGCCTCCGCAAGCAACCAGAGCTCACATCACGGGAGTCCTATCATCTCTGGGCGTGCTGCTCTGAGATTTTGATGATTTTGACAGCAGATCTCGGTTCGGCATGAACCCTGCGTCACAAAGTGGCTTCAGGTGGCTGCGCGCGAATCGGCAGCCGTCGGAGACTGATCCGTCCACTGGCCTGCGCAAGCAGCAACTCGAGCAGCAGAGGCCTTGCAACAGGCTAGAGATGGCTAGAGGTACGCTCAGATGTTTTTTTGGCATATGCTACGACTCAGAACTGGATGATAACGAGTCATGTTGTATACTTGTCCAGGGTTGCTTGCATGTCCCCCCTTCTAGACAGTCAGAGCATGCTCGGCCTTCAAAGCAGATCTGCTAGGAACCGTCCGTCCTTTACTGATCATGTGCAGGCTGCTGGCAGATTTGCTTTCAAGAAGTGGCTCCTCGGTATCGACTCGTTGAGTTTGTTGTTCTGCGCCACTCAGGGAAACTGCACGGTCGCCAAGCGTAGATGTGTGAAGAGAAGGCTTCGATGCCATTGTTGAGATGGCGGAGTATGCTGACGCAATTTCAGAGTGGCTTCCGCAGAGATTCAGAACCGAAATGAGGACTGCACCCTTGAGATGAGTAATAGCTTTGTCCTCCAGACCTGACTGAACTTGCGCCAGGATTTCCGTCTCCGATCTGAAAGCTGTGGAGCTACTCGAGCTTGTCAGAGTCCCAGGGTAACAGACCCCAGCTCTCCATGTTGATCTGGGATATTTCATTTAGACCATGGTGGAGCTTTCAATAGGTTGTTTTTCAGATTGGGTAGGGCTTAATTGGAAAGACGACATGGCTACTGGTATGACCAGTGCTCAGCTGTCATCTTGCAGGGTGCGGTGTGTCAGGCATGTCCACAGGTCTGCAAAAAGGACAGCACGGAGATGATCGAGTTGATATGGAGTTCGTGAGTAAGAGATCAGCAGAGGGCTGGTAGCAAGCTCGCCCATTCATGCAGAGTCACGTGAGAGGTTTGACACGGCAGCAGCAATGTTTTTCCGTGGAAGATCAGAACCCTACCCTGTGGTATGATCCAAGATGGTTTTGGCATTATGCACAACTATGTGAGGCCGAGACCCAAATCTCCAGAAAACTAGGCAGCCAAGACAAAACATAAAAGCGTCACCGAAATGTCAGACGCCGCGCCGTGCTTATCGTGCTTGTCAAGTCCTCCCTCTTCTGTCGGTTGTGCTCACGGTGTGTGCTGCATAGTCGCAGGCAGTCGGATCTAGAAATGGTCGATTTGATGCTTTAACTGCTGGATGTGTGCCTGCATGTCAGTCTTACAGGTTTACTCTCGCAGATGCCGCCCGCTTGTTGATGACTTCGAGGCTATTGCCTGGTGTAAATTTTCCTGCAAGATCCCGGAGTGGCAAGATGGCAGTTACATTTCAAAAGCTTCGTGTCCACAGCCCCATCCGTGTGCCTTTTGCAAATCTAGAAAGGATGCCTACCAGAAGTGCCGCAGAAGTGCCGGGATGGGCTTGCTCCAGGCTCCAGGCTTCCAAGAATAAGTACCCTCGCAAGCGGCCAGCCATGGCTCAGTGCCCCAATGCCTCAGACATTTTACACATTCAATTTTGCATCCCCTCCTATGATCTCCAGGTCCAAACTCGACGTTGGGACAGATCTTGTACCTGGGTTTTGAATGGCGTTCACCCCATCTGCACACCGCACTAACGCGATTAAACTTCATGCTGCTCCCGGCTTGCGGAGCCTTTCAAATTGTGCAAGTCAAGTTCGATACCACGACGCCTTGTACTGGTGCCATTCCTATCATTTTTTGGCAGCATCTTTGCTAGATGCCGATTTTTTCTTTTGATCGCGAGAGGCTTGGGACAGCTTTTGATGTGACAACCTTTTTTAGCTTCCTTGATGCTGGGCAGCTCTTTGATTCTGTTTTTCTGGATCCCCCACGTCCAAGCTCGGAGTGCCAGGGCTACTTGTGCAGCTTCGAACCAGTTAGCTTGCAAGTGCAGATATACGTGGGTCTGTACACGTCTATCAGAAGCCGCGCTTGCAGCCCGAGCTAAGCTTTCAGGTGAGGAATGGAGTGAGTGCCCTGGATCCAGACTTTGACAGCATGGATGAAGCACAGCTCAGCTTTTTCAGCACAGCCTATATTGACCTGCTTGACTTGCAGACTTATAGAATGATCCAAGGACACTGGGGGTGGGTCTGACAACATGTCCTTTGCCCAAAGGCCATTCGGCCCTTATCCATCTGAAATCTCGTTGGACTAGCAGATTTCAACAGGCTGTTCGCGGAGGTTGGTCTTGGTGGCAAGAAGCCCGAACCTTATGAGTAGATCAATTTGGCGAAGGCGCCATGGCCGAATAAAGCATTTCTGAGAGGGTGTGGCTTCTGCTGGAAAACGCAGCGGACACGGAGGAGGACTGCAACGCAGGCATGAGAATGCTCACGTTACGGCAAGTTTGGCCGCAAGGACCAGCGTGGACCTCAACACAAAATCTTGCTGGAAGTGTCAGCTGGAGCCTTGGATCGTGCGAAGCTCAGCAGCTGACACCATCTGACGAGGATAGCCAGGATAGCAGTAACATCCATTTGCCCGAAACGTAAGACGTACATACGGCAGCACTGCCGTTTTAAGAAAGGTGTGCTCAAATCAATCGTATCTGTCTACATTGCATCAGAGGCTTGGTATCTACATGCGAGGCATATAATTATCCAGGAGTGCAATTCAAGCAGAACTGACATGGGATCGCCTACAGCAAACACCTCCATGTTCACACTGGCCCTTCCTGAAGAATGCACGTTGTGACTGCAAGACCGGGTCCAGCGTTTGCAGCAGCTTGCGTGCAGCCCTCAGAGTCCACAAAGAAAAAGCAAAAGCTACTTCCGGGAAGTCCGACATTTTCAGCGTGAGGGTCACATTCTATCCCAGAGCAGGCAATATCTTCTTCATGACAGGGCTTGACCAAGCTGTATTGTGTTGGCCGCTCTCGATCCAGGAACGGCTGGGGTCAGACCAAGATTCAGGAAGGCGATGGTTTCATGTCAGTCTGAGCTAACCCGTGCACTGCAACGTGAACCGCTTGGGTGCATGCTACCTGTCTGCTCAGAGCCCTAACACCGAGGACCTAGACCGTACTGATGTGCCTAGAGCCAGAGACGTTCAGCCTACTTTGTAGTCAGCTTTCCGCGTTGGTCCTGATGCTGAAAAGCTTCCAAGAAGTGTGTGGGGCTTGAAGGTGATGGCTGTGCATGGTTGAGTATTGGGAGAAATACTATGCGCGCAGTCTTGCGAGAAAAGGCAAATTATCCCAAGAGGATTGCTACTGCTCGCCGCAACAGCTCTCCGAATTCCTCTTGAAGCACGATTTGCCATTGGAGGGTGATGTTCTGGTTGTTGGCTCGGGGACATCGGAGCTGCCGGCAATCTTAGCGAAACGTGCAACAGTGACGGCCCTGGACGTGTCCGAAACGGCAGCTAGCTGGATGCGCCAGGCGCAGCCGCAGATACATTGGCACCAGGGAGATGCAGCAGCGATGCCGGACTCCTGGATGGAAGGTTTTGATTGTTTGATCGACAAGGGCCTTCTGGCCCACAAGTTTGCAGACGATCTCTTGGCCTGCAGCACTATACAGAGTGCGCTCTTGAGCGAATATTGCAGGGTCCTGAAGCCTGGTGGTTTTGCGGTTGTAGTTTCTCTGGGCCAGCTAAATCTGAAAGAAAGCGACCTGTCCAGTTGGGCAAAGTTGGAGAAGCATTGCCTTGGGGAGACTTTGGTTTATGTGTTTCAGAGATGGTCCGAGGCAGGCCTGGCAGGGCTTTTGGCCTCGCAGACTTCCTCTTGGCATTCCTGGGTTCTTGGCATTTCCCAGACTTCCTCAAGCGTGCTGGTGTGGATGGCTGCTGCCCAGCGAGCAAATGTGGACCTACAGGTAAGTGACACAACAGCTCGGATCGTTTACAAGGGTGATCACGGGGAGCAGTGCCTGGAGCTTCCACTGCCCTCCCGCCCCATCCAAGCGCGCTGGACGAAGCAGGGTTTGGAGCTGACGCTTGCATCTAGCCAACAATCCTGAGCGCGTCCTGCCTGTGGACTGCTTGACCATACCCCTCCGGCGCCAAAGAGCTCCCATTTCACGTTAAGGTGCTTCACGCTCTCGGTTGTAGCTTCAGTATTGACCTGAGAGGCCTCTGCCTTCACCTTACAGCAGCAGCGGAGGCATTGGCCTTCGGAACGCTGGGCTTATTTGAAACGTTTCGTGAGTCTTTGGCAGCTCCAGGCTCTGGCATGGTGCCACAACAGGCTCGACGAGATCTCCGAGCATTCTGCACGGCTGCATCGGCTGCATCAAAGCATAAACCGAACAAGAGAGTGGTCTACCCATGTGTCATTTGAAGTGGAGAAGTGAGGCAACGGCCCGCCATCAGTGAGGGAGATGAACAGATTCATTTCCGGGAGCGCTCAGATTGCGTCTCAAGTTGTCAAGTTCAGCCGGCGGCGCAAAGATTTTCCACATACAGGGCAGGTTGGGGCTAAATGCCAGGACACGGCTTTCAGCCCAAAGTCGCGGAGCTGGCGACGGGCACGCAGAAGACCAGGCTCTTTCTGGGGAAAGGGCAGCTCTGATGACCCTACCGAAAACGTCGAGGTCTGCAATTCTTCCCGCTGCGGCATCCTGAACGCCGCTGCCAGAGCCCCTCCAAAGACGAGGTGCGCAGAAACTTGCAGCACCATGTGGGCTCAGTAGTTGATTTAAGCTTCTATGTCGCACAGGGCAAGAGTGGGTTCCCACTCCGCGCAGACATATGGCCTGCCTTGAGGTTGGCTGTGTTATGACGGGGTGGAACCGTGATCTGCTGAGCTTTGAGCCCATTCAGCACTTTGACGTTGCAGGGTTGACACCGTCGTCCGCAGGGAAGATGTAGCCGGCTGAGACTCTTTGCAAGCTGCCGGAGGTTTCAGCGAGTCAATTGTGAGGTTCCCGGAGACTTGGGCGCTCGAGGGCTGGAAGCAAAGAGCCAGGCGGGCCTTCAAGCCTTTGCGAGCCCTGCTCGCTCTGTATAGGAGTCTCGTGGCAGCTTGAGCTGCCTTAACGAGGCGCGAGAAACAACATGCCGGCGACGCTGGGCTGAGTACCAGGTGGAGCGCGCATACCAACGCAACAGGACTCTTCCTGTCAAGTAACTTGTGTAAGGCAGAGGCGCTGTATGTGACGACGCCGGTCTCAAAAGAGCCGCGCTTCACAAGGCACGGCATATCACGGCATGCATGACTCTGTCCTAGAGATGCAGCATAGCAGACCTCACGGTGCCTGGGCAGGTCAAAAAAAGCATACGCGTTGCGCTCAGGAACTGCTGTCGTGAAGGGCGTACCTCTAAGGTGTCTTGTTTAATTATCGTGCTCACGTTCGGATTTGGATAGCTTTTCATGTCCGAAAGGCCGGCTGGCCGTCCCTGCACAAGCCATCGGCTAGGAGAGGTGCTGGATAAACGCAGTTCCCACAAACCTGCGGGAAAAAGGGCTCGGCCTGTGCAGATAGGAATGTCGAGCGCCAGGTGCTTTGGAAGAGCTGCCCCCTTCAGTAGCGCAAATGCGCTGCTGAGGCCTGCGGCCAAAAAAAGGATGGGAGAGAAGCACCAGTCTTGCCTTTGAAACCTTGGCTTAAGAGTTGACTCTTTCGAGACTTACCATGTCCGCAGCCAAACGAGCATCAAAAGCAGAAGGAAACATCAAACAAGCAGCCATGTAAATGTAAATCTCAGTTAGCAGGCTACCCGTTCTCCGAGTTGGAGCACATGGTGCGAAGCCCTTGCACAGTGAACAGTGGCCTGTCTAGGAACTGCTAGGCTGCCTGGGCTTTTACGATAAGAGCACCTCAAGCAGACCTGGCGCATCAAGAGCCATGAGGGGCTCAGCTCATGTCCCCATCCGGAAAACTGGGCTTGCGAGGTGGCCGTAAGATGCAAGCAGGCGCATCGTATTGCAGAACTGGATGCCAGGACTCTACATCCTCTTCCTGGCCTCTTGTTTCGGCGCTCATGTGTTTCGAACAGCACATAGACAAGATGCCTGGAAAAGCAATACTGGCAAACGTTGCGTCGTGACTGAGTTTTTTTTGGCTTGTACGGCGGTGCCTCAATCTGCAGACCAGGTGGGGCCGGTACTGCATAACGATTGTAGTCTCGTGCTTAGCCCAAGCTACCTCAGTCTAAGTTTGTTTGGAAGCGCGACACATCAACGGATGTTCTTCTATTCAAGCTGCATACGATTGCCGATAGTTTGGCTGCAGCTGTGACGAACTTTTTGAAACCCATGACCATTGCAACGTGCCTTCAGGGCTCAAAGCGGCTTTCGTCCAGCAAGTCAATCATGGCGTTGCCCTGTCCACTTGGACTGCGTTGTTGGCTGCCCTTCCTTTTTGCGCCTCAGGTGCTAGGACTTGAAAAGCCCCACATTCTGTTTGTCCTGGTGGATGACCTGGGCTGGGCAGACGCTGGATTCAATCGGGCCGAACCTGATCCAGAAGTTGTTACTCCAAATTTGAATAGCTTAGCGGCTGCTGGAATCCACCTTCGCCGACACTATGTGCATTCTATGTGCACGCCTACCCGGACCAGCGTCCAGTCTGGCAGGCTGCCAGTCCACGTCAACACTCGTTTGGGCGATGTTTGTGATGACGACACTGGCATCCCATACAACATGACTGGAGTGGCGGAAAAAATGAGACAGGCCGGATACAGGACGCACTTCGCAGGCACAAGGTTGTTACAAGCCGTTGAATTAGAAGGTTCGACCCTTTAGGATGATTAATTGAGAAATACAAGGGTCACAGGAGCTTGCTTCCAATACTAGTTGCATGCGGCTCCCTAAACCCTAATCTCTTAAAGAAGATAGCTCTTGTCGCTTCGCAGGAAAATGGGATGCAGGCATGTCTACTCCACGCCACTCACCGCATGGTCGCGGATATGATACAAGCCTGCATTACTTCTCGCACAAGAACGACTTCTACAACCAAGGCAATATGCAAACCTGCTGTGAGTCTGACAGGTCAATTGTAGACTTCTGGCGCACGGACCGGGCAGCATCTGATGTGAATGGCACAGACTATTCAGAGTTCCTCTACAGGAACGAGCTGCTTTCCATCGTGCAGCAGCATGACGTCAGCCTACCCCTCTTCTTGTTCTACGCTCCGCATGTTGCACATTGCCCCCTGCAGGTTCCGGAGCGGTACTACAACAACTTTAGCTGGATGTCGGACGATGAGGACCAGTGCCGTCAGCAGACCGTAAAAAGTGAGCATCCAATCGATCCATCGAATTTGGACTTGGAATACAAGTGCCGACAGCAGCATGCAGCAATGGTCATGCTAATGGATGAAGTAGTGGGAGATGTCGCTTCTGCACTCAAGGCCAGGGGGATGTGGGACAGTACTCTTATGATCTTTTCCTCCGACAATGGTGGACCAGTGAGACTGGCAGAGAATGCAGCAAACAACTGGCCTTTGCGTGGTGGAAAGTACAGCCAATTTGAGGGTGGAATACGGGCAGCGGCTTTTGTCTCTGGGGGTGTTCTTCCCCCCCAAGTGCTTGGCACAAGCAAGGGCGGCATCATTCACATAGCGGACTGGTATGGAACCCTGTGCAGTCTTGCAGGCATTGACGCCTTCGATGATCGCGCAGCAGCTGCGGGCCTGCCTCCAGTTGACTCGTTGAATGTTTGGCCTTACCTCACTGGGACAAGTGCTCGCTCTCCACGCTCGACAGTCCCAGTAGGCAAGAGTTGCCTCATTTCGGAAAATTGGAAGCTCATCACGGCCGCCACGCAGCCAGGCTTTTGGCAAGGACCCCGCTTTCCAAACAGCAGTTCTGTTGAGCTGCAGGCGCCAGCATGCTCCGGTGGTTGTCTTTTTGATGTGGAGCAGGACCCAACAGAGCAAGTGAATCTTTATCAGGAGAGGCCGGATGTGGTGGAAAGCATGTCATCACAGCTGGAGGAACTCAAGGAGGCATTCTTCGAGAACAACGACAAGTTTGTAAAGAGTTGTCCAGAAAATGTGATCAACTGTGCTTGCTGGTTGGCACACCATCGCTATGGAGGCTTCTTGGGCCCCTACGCCTTGCTGGACGGTTTGGCCGACACGCCTGACAAGCCTGGGCTTGCAATTGCATCATTTTCAATTTGATGCGGCGAGTCCAAATGCGGTCACGCATTTGCAGAGTCTTGCACACTTGCTGTCTCCAACATCACAGCAAGTCGCTCCCCGAAGTGTCTTTTGCCATTTGCTTCCGGCTGCAGGTTCTTCGACCTCCCGATGTAGACTGCTCGGGTCTGCCGGAGTGGGAGGAATTCCGTCTGGCCGCCGTGGAACACAGCAGGCTCTCCGCCTCTCTGGCCCTGTCTCTGGGGCTTCTTGTGGTGCTGTCGTCTCTCAGGAATGGTTGGCCAGATGTCAACGAAAGAGCTGAGCTCGATCAGCTTGAGGCTGGCAATCTCTTGGGGAGGAAAGGAAATGACTGCCTGCCTGCGGTTGTCTGTAGGCAATGTCACGAAACCTCGTGGCGAAGTGGAGATGGGTGGTTTGCAAAGAGGCGCAATGCAAGACAGCCTAAGTTCTAACTCAACTGTTTCAGCTCCATCGCAAGTGTAATCCTGCGAAGTTGCATGAGGACTGCCAGACTACCCAGCATTTGGCTTGGTCGTTTGTGGAGGACTGAATGATGTGCGGCTGCGTTTAGCGTGGCATTGTCCCTGATCAGGACTGGGGAACCCGCTGCAAAACCAGCACCAACTTTGACCGCTACCTCGTCACGCACTATTTCAGGAAAGGATTGGAGGAGAGAGTTTTTAGAAAGCCGTCGCGTTGAAGTGGGCAGGAATCGTGGCCTGGAATTCGCTCCACACAGTGAACCAATGGGCTACTGCCACTTTGGCCAGGCCACTCAGCGCCTTACCATCGTGAAATGTATTCTTCAAGAGGGAGATGTAGTTGCAAGCTACTTAAAATGATTTCCGTTTCAGAGGTTTCATCACAGCCCTGGTGGTTGCAGCTCAGTTCGAGTTCCCGCACTCGGTGGACTTGGTCTGAGCTACTGTACTTGAAATTAAGCCTCTTCAGTTTGTGCTCTGTCTATGCAGTCGCGGCCCAGGCGCAGGCTGGTCGGATGCTCTTCCTTGCGCCCTGACCTGAGTGGCCCGGCGCTGCAGATATGGCGTGATCTAGTGCACCTCACATTTTGTGCTGGGAAGGTATGTCCTTCTGGGAGATTTCTTCGCCTTTGACTGGCTTGCCTGCCTCCGTTGTGCTTGCCATGCTGCCAGCGTATGGACGCATATTGCCCATGGTGGACAAAGCAGCAAGTAGCAGGTTGACATCTTCCGGCTGGCCCGTGGACTCCTTGATGATTGCCCTAAACGTGCACATCGCCAGGCACTGAGCAGAGTCGAGCGCACTTCTTCAGGCCAACCTGAAATTCCTACAAAATACGATTCCCAAGAAGACTGGGAGAAGTCCTGCCATCCGCCTCAGGATAAACAAGCCAGACATAACAGACACCCTCGGGGTTCCTGAGCGTTACCCATGTAGAATGATCCTTCTGGTCCATACGCTCTGGTTGAGGTCTCACAGCGACTTCTGGCCGGGCCTGCTCTCGAGAAGATTCGTGCTGCAGGGCAGCTGCCAGGCCTGGCAAGATGAGTCTCTTCCAAACGAGGGTGCATATGCGATCTCCAGAGCTCACAGGGCTCACAGTCACACTTTGCAAGCAGCGTAGGTACTCTTCGGCGTAATTGTACTGATGGCCAAAGGGGAGCCTGTGAGAGACAAGACCGCTTGTTGCCGTTAAGTTAACCAAAGTTGATGTTGGCCGACTTTGTTGCGTGAACGTGGGCAGCTGTATTGATGAGTGTTCTCCTCTTGCCTCCCCAGTTTGCTCTTGCTTCCGCACTTCTTTCACCCTGTGGCTTCTCGTCCTGCCCTTGGCCTCCTCCTCTGCTCACATGTTAGCACTCGCAGATCAAACGGCAGATGAATGCTTGGAAAGACTGGCAGCGGTTTCACGCACTTCGAGATTTTTTGTTCCTGCTTTCCACTCCAGCAGAGCTCCTCTCTCCCATTTCATTTTACGTGTCATCGCACAAGCCAAGCCCTGTGCGGAGGCTTGGCGGGGTCCAGTTTTCTTCGGTTACACAGTCAGTGGTCTGTCCCTCAGCATTGGGGCGATGGAAATGTTCACTAATTGGTCTCTGGCTAAGGCAAGGCACATCCGAAGACGGCAAGGAAACGGCTCGCCTGAAGCTCAAGCCTCAGCGACTGTCATGCCCCCACTCCGTTACGATCCGTTACCTTTGTTCCCTGCACGACTTGCTCGTCTTCCAGGGTCAGGGGGCAGAGCTGAGGTTGGATGCTCCCGAGCTCCGCATTTGGCAGTTCGACGCCCACACTGCGCTTGCAGGAGAGGCAGGCGCCAGCCAGTTTATCTTGCACCACCTGACTTATCTCTCGTAGATCTCATCTCCATATGCAGCCTCTAAGTCTGCGCAGGCTAAGACGATGCTGACTAGGTTTGGTGATGCTACAGGAGTCGGAACCTTGGCACGGTGCGATATGCAAGTCGTCTACATTTGAGTAGTATTTAATTTCGTGATACTATGATACCCAAAAAGAGCAGGAGTATATCCTCCTTTTGGGTATACTGTTCATATACAGAATACAATCTTTTTTGGTTCAACCACCAAGAAACGCTACTCATTTGGACATCTGACAACTAGCCTTTGTCGTCAAGCGTTCCAGTCCTTCGAGCGTGTAGTCGCCTTTTGACCGAGTGTCGACATGGAGGGAGCTCTGGGACGTCCAAAATCATTCTAGCAGTCTCCTCTTTTCACGTTTGTTGCTGGCAGCCAGCAGGATGTTGTATATGAGGTGCGGGTGAATTTTCTGGGGAACTCCCTTGCTGGTAACGTTTGCCGACTCCTTGGCACAGATTGCACTGCACCTTTTAAGAAAACAGAGCCATTGCGTTTGTGATTTCCCAATGCTGGCGCCCAGGTCGAAATTACGGTTTGTGTGCCAAGCCTGAAGACAAGGACCCCAGCAGGGACCGGCTTGGATAAATAATTGCCACCTTTGCAGCCAAGACGCCAGTGCCGATATTTCCCCGCAAGGAGCTCTTGCGCAGCCTACTGGATCGCTACTACCAGGAAAAGCAGGCAGGGGCAGAGAATGTCGAGCATACATTACTCGTAGTGCAGAAACAAACCAGCCCCAGCGTGTGCCGCACAGGCTTTTCCCAGCGTGGCAGATGCGTTTGAAGAAGCCCTTGGCCCGAGGCCGCTGTGAGCGGGTAGAGCTGCACGAAACCCTATGCAGAGCATGAAAGAGGCTCTCGCGGGAAGCTGATGTGCTGATGTGCTCGCAACCGCTGAGCTCCTGGGATTTGAAGGAGAAAGGGCAAGTTGTTGAGCAAGTCGTTGAGCTTTTGGTGGTTTTCGCGTGAATTGCTTAGAGGCTGGTGTCGTTTTCTGTTGGGCCTCCGCAAGCCGATGCTTCTTTACGTGGGGCTGCCGGTTATGTGGGACTGCAATTGCCTCGCTGCCTCGACATTGTTGCAGTGCAGCCGATGTCGGTACCCTTGCTGCAGGACTTGCATGATTCCGATCGTGATGGGTGGGCGACAGATTTTGCAGACATTTTGACCAGCCGTGACGCTAAGATGCTCGAGAATTCAGCCGCAATGAGAAGATACTACAACCATGTTTCCAGAGGCAGCTGATCACACGCGAGGTCAGAGGAACGTTGTCATTGCAATCAGTGTCTTCGTCGTCAGCTTCTCAGCGTACTTCCAGCGAGACTGAGTATGACGTGGATTGTCAGCCAGGCGCGCCAGGTGCATTGGCAGTTTGGCGTTCGCATACCGACGCTTAGACCCCTTGGGCTGCACGCGCTGGCGATGCACGTGTCCCAGCCTCGGCAACGACCAGGTGCAAGTGCAAGTGCAAGCGGAAAACTGTTGAAAACATGAAGCCGGCCGAGGCCCTTGCGGAATTCCTCTGTTCTCGTCAGCCGCTTTGGAACCAGTGGAGGGTTCTCAGACAGAGCCTGAGTTTTGAGGACTGCCCTCAGGATGCAGATCCGTGCTGGTTGCAGAAGGTCTGGCATGTGGGGTCTGAGGAATGCATGTTCGACAAATTCGCAGAGGTGAACAGGCACTGGCACGGAGCCCAGTCCTGTCCTTCTCCTTGTGGGGACACTGTAGGAGAGCTCAGGTTCCCTCTACACTTCATACAGATGGAGGCTATTCTCTTTGAGGAGCACCTAGCTTGGCCCTAAGACTAAAGCATGGAGTCCTCGCTGCAAAGGCTTGATGCTTTGCCATGCGCAGCTCGGGTTCAAGAAGCCTTGATAGAACCCAGTTTCCTGCCATGACGCTGACAATTGAGGAACTCTCCTCAGAACCTTACTGCCAGGGCCATCTCTTTACGGCCGACGTCCCCGAGAATCACCAAGCCGGGCGTCTGGAGCAGCTAAACATCATTGACGGACGCCTTCCAGGCCTAGCCCCCCCCCCCCTCCTCCCCCTGCACTGAAAGTCGATTAATTGAATGGTAGGTGCTACGCATTCGATTGAAGTTTTCGCGCCTTCCAGGTGGCGGTTTGAAGGGCTACCTCGAGCGTGGGCGCGCTTTGCTGCGGGAGGCGAAGGAGGGCAGCAACCCGTTTGATGGATTGAGGCCTTCACTGCCGGAGGGTCAACAGCTTTTTGGTGACAATGGGCCAGGGAGCCCTGCCTTCGGGGGCTGCGAGGAGGCAGGAATGGCGGAACTCTCGAAATGCTGCTTCTGCCTGGTGGCCGGCGGCCTGGGCGAGCGTCTAGGCTTCCCAGGCATCAAGATTGGTATTGTGGCGGAAGTGGTCACTGGAACAACGTTCATCGAACTCTTTTGCTCCTACATTCTGGCATGCCAAAGTTACGCGCGCAAAGAGACACAGGATCCCAACTTGCTGCTGCCACTTGCTATCATGACCTCGGGAGACACTCATGACCAAACCGTGCTGATGATGACGCAAAACGATGCTCAGCTTAGAATTTGACTGGATGTCGATGTGTGATGAAGATCACTTGCCGTGCCCTGACCAGGCTTTTTTTGGCATGGTGGAGGAACAGGCCAGGCATTTCTGGTGCTCTCAGCACGACCGAAAGCAAGCCCTCCTCCACAGGTACACTTCCTGAAGCAGGAGAAAGTACCTGCGCTTGTCGATGTTGAAGCTCGCATCGCCGCAAAGGATGGTACCATCGAGACGAAGCCGCACGGCCATGGTCACTTGGTCCCGTTTCATGAACAGTCTTTTGCTTGGACCATGCCATGCTCCCTTACACACGGACACTTGCACAGGAGACATTCATGTGCTAATGCATCAGCGCGGCCTCTCAAAGCAGTGGGTCGAAGAGGGCCGTCGCTGGCTTTTTGTATTTCAAGACACGAACCCCTTGCACTTCCGCATTCTCTGTGCCTTGCTGGGTGTCTCAAGCAAGAATGGATATGTCATGAACTCTGTCGCAATTCCGCGGATTCCTGGTGAATCAATCGGTGGCATTTGCAAGCTCACTAGCCCTTCGGGAGCTGTGATGACTCTCAATGTTGAGTACAACCAGCTCGAGCCGCTGCTGAGGGAGTCAGGAACCGGTGATGTTGCGGATGACACTGGATTCTCGCCATACCCGGGAAACATCAACGTTCTGCTATTCAGCCTGCCCAGATATTCCGAATGTCTGGACAGCACTGGTGGTGTTGTGCCTGAGTTCATCAACCCGAAGTGGGCAGACTCAGGTAGGACCGCATTCAAGTCTTCGACGCGCCTGGAATGCATGATGCAGGACTTCCCTCGGCTCTGTGGGCCTGAGGACAAGGTTGGCGTGACGCAGTTTGAGCGCTGGATTGCCAAGACAAGCGTCAAGAACAATCTGGTGGATGCCCGGAAAAAGAATCCCCCAGAATGCGCCCTCACTGCGGAGGCGGACTTGTATGCTTGCAACGCGCGGCTCCTGCAGTATCTTGTTAGAGCAGTTTGGAAGGGATTTGGGATTGACAGATTGTATCCAAAAGTTGGATCAAGCCAATCCGAAAGTCTCAAAAAATGTCCAGTGTCGAAGCATTCAGGTCTTCAGCACCTTTTCTTTATCGTCCAATTCATGCTGACTGTGATTTGTCAGGGTCGGACTCTTCTGTTTTCTCTTACCATTTTCCGCCATCATCATTGGTCTTGGGCACTTGGGCAGGTAGGGTAACTTCAGCAAGTTCGGGGCTTTCACACACATCCATCGCAGATCTCATCGTGGCTGTTTCGGTGCTCAGTGCATACTCGCAAAATTCACAGCAGGATCTGAGATGAACCAAGGCTTGCTGGTGCGGAGATTGAAGATCCTGAGGAGGTGTCCTTCCTAGGGATCTCTGCCAAGATTGGAGCGCAGAGCCTTCTTTGCATTGCAGGCAATCGACGTTAGCCGATAAGACATTAGGAGTGACTCAGTTTGAGAATTAGTTTAGTGGGCCTGTTGCAAATAGTTGTGGTCCTTGTATGTCCTTGTCGTCCTGCTGACAGGGCACCACATAGGGGCCCTGTATTAAAGGAATGCCTGACCTGTCGGCAACTAGACTTTCCCACAAGTTCCCTTCAAAGGCCACAGAAGTTTGCAAGATCCAATGTCTTGTGCCTGGTCACCTTGAGCAAATCTCGGCTTCAGAACGGACGTATCGCACGTGGGACGGCGGCTAGTGCCTGTGGCCCCAAGGATTGTGCTGAAGCCTTCCTTTGCCATCTCCTTGCAGCAGATAAAGGGCAAGCTGAAGGGAAAGAAACTTGACTGTAGAACAGGTTGCCGTGCCGCGAAGCCTCCCTATCATGTTTTCGGCAAATCAGTGAGCTCAGGGTTCGCATCTCCAAGAGATCTACCCTGGTGTTGGCCGGCGATGTTCCGCACTGAGTCGACCACGAGTTGTACACTCAAGATTTACCCAACCTGGGTTTGCAAGATTTTGCAAGCACCTTCTTGAGGTTCTTGTGGACGGTCTAGACCTGGATGGAGCCCTTCATCTGCATGGCAACGGCTGCGCAGCAGGACTGTTTGCCAGCATTTGCCAGCCCTACGTCAAGTAAGGAATCTTGGAACAGCCTCAGTGACATGCCGAGCTGAAGTCTGATTTTGAGCAGACTTGGTCCTAGGACTGCAGGTGAAGAACCGTGGTGTAGAGTTTGTCTGCATTCCCGACGAAGACCTGCCAGGGGTGGCCCCATCCCTGCAAATCCGTGGGCACTTCGAACAAGTGGAGTATTGGATTATGATTTGTGTTTGAAATTTACACGGTCGGTGCATTTGTGTTTGTGTGGGTCTTTGGGTCTCAGGTACAAGGCAAACATTTTGGAAATGGATGAAAGACACCTAGCAGACGACAGCATATCTTGACTATGACCTGCGAGAGTTCTGGAGAGAGCGCCGCTGAACCCGCTGCATCTGCATCACCTACGTCCAAAATCTGCGCCGCAGCATCGTTGACACCTTCGCCGGCTCCGTGCTGCAAGAGATTGCTTGCTGAAGGAAGAGGTCGGCCGCCAGGGCTTCTGCCAGTGTGCACGCTCGGCGTATCTCAGCGTGCTGGGATGCCGAAGCTGTCAGGACGATGCGCCGAGGTGAGCAAAGCCGGATCAAAAAGGACACTAAAAGGTACTGACATGGCAAGCTGCTTGTGCTGCAAGGCCACACCAGACATCCGTAGGCACGCTATGGCTCTGAGGCCTTCACAGGAGACGATGAGCTTGAAAATGCGAAGACGTGGCAGGAGCACACGAGTGAGATCAAGGCGGGGCCTTTTTTTCCAGTGACAGAGAAATTCAATTGCGCCAGGTGCCTCACATGCCCTACAACAAGTTGGCCTCCCACCGTGCTGTGGTGTGCATGCCGTACGACACCAGCATATTCCTATTCAATGAGTTCTACTCCACCAACATGCCAGTTCTTGTACCCAGGGACCTATGGCGATGGCTCATCGGGCCAGTCACTTCACCCATGATGGAGTACCGTCATTGGACGGCTGAGGCGCTGGAGTCTGATGTCTCAGTAGGCCTAGGGCCCATACCAGGCAGTTCACCCTTTTATGCTTCCGTCCACCGCCCAATGGCGGTTGAGCAAGCTCTGGAGTGGTCTGTGTACAGCGACTGGGCTATGCTTCCGCACCTCATCTACTTCGATGGTGTGCCGGACCTGTTCCTCAAGCTCCTGGACACGGACATCTTGCATGCAGCCTCTATCAAGATGAAGGTTTTCAACGACGAGGAACTCGTCTTGGCGGTGGAGAACTGGAGGAAGGTTGCCAACAGGCAAGACTTGGTGTTGGGCTTTAGGCACAGGTTGTCCGGCCCCATCGGGAGGTTAGGGGTGATGCCAGCCAGTACCCAGCAGAAGATCCGGAGAAGCAGACAAAGAAGAAGCAAGCATGCATCAAACTTTCCAGAAGAAAGCAGAGAAGAAGCATCAGCACAAATCGCCCGCCTGGCTATCGCTCCTTTCCCTCCCCGCCTGCTGACTCTGACTCGCGCACTTGGATTGGTGCCTTGTGGCTCTTATCATTAGCCAGACAGCCATCGTATACCCCAATAATTTTCTTTTACGGAATGATGTGTTCAAACATGGCTCCAATAATATGAAATTTGAGTACTGTGTTTATCCCAAGATGCTAATCACTATGGCTGCAATTATGGCTTCTGAAGACCCCTGAGCTGGATTCAAGGTCCGCTCGGGAAGCTGATTTCAGCCTTCAGCCCGTTGTTTTCATATCATCGTAATATCATTTTCATATGATTTTCATGTTCTTCCATATATTCTCCATTTTTCCACAATTTTTGTGCGCTTGGGTCTCATACGTCTTTCCAACTTTTTCCATTTTCCATTTTTTGTGCATCCTCTGGGCTTGATGGGCATGAAGCTTCGACCCAAAACGCTTAAGCTGTCTTTCTTGTGTTGAGCAGTGTAGAGTTACACAGTTAAAAGGTCGTATGGTGGTAGCGACTGGCCTCCCATTCAGCGGGTTCAAGTTGAAACAGGCTCAACGGGTCGGGTTCGAGCATGAACCTTTGTTATGGAGCAAAACACCCTGCCATGACGGTCTGTCTCAAGCTATTGCTCTATTGATGCCGCAGGCTCGTCTACGCTGCACAGGAGGCTGCCTACCCGGAAGCTGCGCGCCAAAGAATGGCACATCCGAACACGACGCCATCCGGAAAACAGGGAGCACAACGTGCGGCATGACAAAGCAGCGCAACTTTGCGAAGCAGGTACCTCTCTGCATGCTTTCGGCTGCTGTTAGGCCATTTTTGGCCCACAAGAGCATCACAGATCAGTTTGCAAGCTAGAAGAAAATTTTTGCGATCTGCTGTGATCAATCTGCAGCTAAGCCAGACCTAGCACCGAAAGGCTTGTTTTTTTGCTGCTTCGCCGTATCCAACGATACAGCCTCAGGCCAAATTGTTGGTCATCTCCATGCTTACTAATTAGCTGACCTCACAAAACCCGCAACATGACGCCGTTTGCCAAGCCTTCATGCCTAACCTCTGTGTACTGCGAGCTCTGCAAACTTACTGATGGCAGAGCTTTCAATCTGATGGCCATGGCGGGAGAGCCCAGCTCACGGTTGCAAACGTGGAAGTGTGGATGTGCAGATCCCATGCCACGCGAAACTTGTGATTCCGGTCCATGAGTCATGGCATGGAAATTTACACCTTCTTCTTGCTGTTTGAGTGTATGAGTGTATGTAACGCGCACAAAGCAGCACAGATGACTGCAATCAAGAGACTTGAACGAGGCCAGCTCAGGCTATCGAGAAGAAAGGGCGACAGCCCCAAGGATTGAGTGCATGAGCCTCGGGCACACCTCGCTTCAAGGCAAGTGACACTTGTGTTTATTAGACGCGAGAAGTTGGAATGCTGAGGCGATGGGGCCGAGGAATTCCAGGACATTGTGGACTCTCCCTATGGCGCGGTTCATGCCGAGCTGGGTTGCTCAGAGGGTGTCGATCCATTCCGTGCCCACAAGCTTGTCTCTGCTTGTTGCATGTACATTCTATTCTTTCTGATTGCACGGCTAGAGCTGCTGCGCGCGATGTTGCGAACTTATTGCAAGCCACCATCCAAACTAATTCTGGGGGTGGGCTTGGGATATAACGGGACAAAGCTGGTATCAACCGCAACAATGCCAGTCCCATAGCAAAAACACTGAAATTACGAAAGCTTCCCAAGCCTTCGTTTGAAACCCAGAAATGCTGATCTTTATTAAGGGGGCGTGGGGGAGGCTTTTCTTGGGCCAGACCACCCGAGGAGGGTTTTCGGGGCGTGGCCTGGTGGGCCCCAGGAGGTGGGCATGAACCTGTTCTGATACGGTTCCGGGGTGTCGTTTGGGGTGCTGTGGAGGCTGTTTGGACGCCAGATGGCAGCTTTTTAGGCACCTTGGAAGCTGTTTTTGGGCACGTGGAAGCCTTTCGCGATCCGCCGCTTTATGAAACATACGCCAGTTTGCACCCGCTTGTAAGCTTTCGTCCTCCCCCTTGCGCGCAATTCGTGTGTGGCCACAGGTATCGGTGCTTTCAGTTGAATATTGAAGTCATCTTTGGTGAGGGATTGATGCCGTGTGGCAATGATCATCACTCTGGTGTTGGTCTGTCCCTACTGTGCCCAACCACACAGTGTTCCTGGAGTGCCCAACGCCAGAGAGTGCTCAACCCATTTTTTTTTTGAGGCTTGTCCCACCTTGCCCAGAGCTTGGAGTACAAAAAGAAATCTGCAGGATATGTTGGGGTGAGGATGTTCGAAGTACAATAATGACTTTGCAGAGTCCGTTGCCATGTAAAGTCTTGGCGGCCGGAAACTAGCTTGGATGAGCCTAGACTGGCATCCGTTCATGCTGAAAAAGGGTTTCGGAGGCTGAACATACAAATACGGCACTAGCGCCACGGGACAACTTAAAGAGCTCATTCAGAGTTGGTAGTACTGTAGTAGATTCTCATTGACCGCGTCAAGACAGCCTGAGTCGAGCAATGTGCCCGAGGATGATCAGTGGTGAGGGTGAGGACTCACCTACTTGTAGGGACATATGGCAGAGCTGCGCAGCCGTCAGGGATTTTCAGAGATGGACATGACAGCAGGATGAGGAGTTCACCATCACAGGCGACCCCAGCAATGCTGCCGATGCGGCGTTTGACAGCCAGGCCTTCACAAGTAAGCTACAGACGGCAGTCAGTTCAGTCTGCTGAGCTGCTTGCAAGGTCGAGGCCCTGCAGGATGCAGTCCTGGATGACTCGTTTCAGGTGGCAGAAAAGTCCTGGCAACGCTGTTGGACCGTTGCTGTGCTAGCAAGGAAATGCTGAATGCGTATTGCCGAGAGCACTGTCATCACTTTGAGGACCGGTCAAAAGCAGCAGATCTGCTTGTGAGCATTTTGGTACGGCAGTTCCGAATCACCAGGATTCGGAGGAGAACAAACTCATCTACACGGAGCTTTTCAGCCAGTATGCTGCTTCTCATCTGAGCGTTGTAGTATTTTTCTCCTGCTTTTTTGGCTGGTGCTTCCGTGGTGGCTTTGCAGACGGAGATTCATCTCTCAGGAGCTGATAGAGGGGCATCTGGAACGTCAGATGGCAAGTGCCATCCCCGGGCACGGTTCTGAGAGCCGGATCAGTGTATGTACCCTCAGCAGCCTTTGCAAAACCATCTGCCATCTACCATTCAAGCAACACCCAAGCAACTGTGCCGTTCCGTCTGCACGCCATGACGATCCGGCTGCCTTCTGGCATGTGCTCAGGTTCTCAATGGCTTCCTTCCTGGAAGAACTCTCTGCTAGAGGTGCAGCACAACATACCTAGACCCGAGAGAGTTGGGTTTTCTTGTGAGAGCATGCTCTGCAAGGTGAAGATGAGATTGTGCCGACCTCTGCTTTGGTGTTGCTGCAGTGGCCCCTGCAATACTTGGCGAGTGCATTAATGTTAGTTGCCTCGGCCAAATTTGCCCCCACTCTGTCAAGCACCGGGGCAAGGGATGGCCGCTGGGTCGGAGGAACGGGTTTCGGTCGGGATGACGTCGGCGGGAGGCGATCTTACCCCTTGCTCAGGATGCCGCTGTTCTCGACTTGTTGATCTCCTTGACGGATTTCATGTCCTTCAAGCAGCAGATGCTGACAGTGAAGGCCATCGACTTGTGCAGCTTGCCGTCCAAGTCACAACTGATTCTTTGACCTGACAAGGCCGGAGATGCTGGCTTGTCCTTGGCCGGGACAGCTTCGCAGATCCACGCGGATGAAGATGAAGAAGGCGCCTTGTGGGCTGTTCCATGACGCTTGGGACATAGTCTGATGAATTTTATATGAAGGTGAAGCAAGGCCAGACCTTGATGGCCTGCTGACAGTGTCACCAGCCTCACCCAGCACCCCGCCCAGAGGGGTGAGGTCCGAGAGGAGAGGTCACACATGCAGTTCGATCATCCAATGCATGATGGCATATGTCACAAGGCCAACGTGCTGCAGGCTGAGAATTTGGCGCCCAAGCCCCCTGTCAGCTGAAAAGTGTTGCCGGAGTTAAAGCCGTACATGACAGGATGGCCTTTTCGGGAAACCCTTGGGCCCTTTGGACAAGAGCCCAGGGTAATCAATGATAGCATAGCCTGCATCGACAGGTTCCGAAGTCTGCATCACAGCTGGAATTGCGGCTCAGTTGAGTTGCGACGGTAGCCAGTAGTCTGGAAATCCAGCTTGAGGGCAGCAAGCACCACTGGCCGTCACTAGCGCGCAGTCAGTGCTAATGAATGGATGCAACCATATGCAACCAAAGCGCGTAGCAGATGAAGTGGAGCTTCTGTTCAACTCAGCATACGTAAAACCCGTCATCACGACGCAGCGTCACATACAGAGGAACTCAGCAGGACATGCTGACATAGCTGCAGCTTGCTTTGTCGCATGGCAAATGCCTTGTTTGCTCATGGGGCCCCTTCTCGTGCTGGGAACAGTGCACCTCAGCGCGGTTGCGCAACCCAGCAGCTTGGACCCTTGGGACTCGCCGGGTATCGCCAGTGCAGTAAATCTCCCGCCAAGACAGGAAGAACCAGTCCCGGCGTCCCGGCCCCTTGTGATAGGAGGAATTGAGTTCTCACGGGAAGATGATATTGAGAATATGGAGAAGCTCTCCAATCTTTTTGGACAAGTCTTTTACACTCATGTGCTGGCACCAGGTGATAGCACAGCAGCCCAAGCATGGCAATCTTTGTCTTCTGATATTTGGAAGCTTGTGCAGCATGCAATGCAGACTCCAGCCATGGCCTTGTCAGTAGCAATGTGCCTCTACAATTATTATTGGTGGGAGGGGCCGCACAACAATCAGCCTAACGCAGTGGCAGGTTACCATGCTGCAGAGCTGATGCACATAGCTGTTCAGCATGCGAGCTGTCATGAGCCCGCCTTAAGTGCGATCGATTTTTACATCCGGCAATGCCATTTGCGCTGGCGATACCTGCTGATGCTTGCCGGAGAGACCGGACGCTACTTGGTCTTGAAGTCGAGGAGCATAAAGGACGGAAGCCATCTGCTCTCACGTGCGCGCGCCCATTTCCGCGAGATGCGACAGCTCCCCAACGTAGAGTTGCTTCATGGTCTCAGCACCCACGAAGTCAACTTCAATATGGACTATTACCCTGCAGCGACCAGGCGCTTTGGGCCTGTGTGGCACGACCCCTTGAAGTTCCTGCCTGTTGCCAGCGTTCTCGAAGCAAGCTATGCTGTTATTCGCTCTGAGTTGGAGGGCATCTTGACGCAGGGCTCCACGTTTGAGAATCTAGACCAGCAGACCCGCAATGCCGAAACCCAGTTTGGCCCCCGAGGTGACGACTGGTTAACAGCGTACCTGTTTAGAAAAGGTGAGCCAATTCCAGAAGTTTGCGCGCACGCCCCGCGCACTTGCCAGATCCTACAGCAACGGCCGGAAATTGCAAACTGCAAAATAGGAGGATCGGGCGCAGGCTTTTTGCGAATGAGACCCGGTGGCAGGCTGAAGCCTCATTTTGGCAATGCGCCCCGGCTGAGTGTGCACTTGGGCCTGATCGTGCCCGATGGTGAGATCTCCATGTATGTCGGCTACGAGGAGCTCAAGTGGGAGGAGGGTAGAGTCATAGCATTTGATGACACCTTCATCCACCAAGTTCTGCACAATGGTGTTGAGCCTAGATATGTAATGAATCTGTGGATGTGCCATCCGTGCGACCCTTATGATGGCAAAATGCCCGGGGAAGCTGTGCCAGAGTACTGCCATGGCGCAATAGGTGCTATGCAGCGCCTAGGCTTACAGCCTCTCCCTCCAAAATTTTAGACCAAAGCGTCTGCATTCCACGTTCCAAGCAAAGCCCGAACAAAATGAAATGGCAGTTCGCGTTGATGACGTCCAAACGCACGCGGCAGCCTCCATGGGGGCACCGGCACAAGCATGTCTAACCCGGAAAGAAGTAGTGAACGTAGCCTGAAAGGAGTAGCCAATCTGATTGGTTGGCAGAATTAATTATGTGACATCGAACAACATTGCAATCTCAAGGTGTGGTACAATTCCAAAAAGTTCAGCAGTACTTCAACGAAAAGGGGAAGTCACACGGTACGCTGGCAAATCTCTCGGCTTTACAGAAGTTGCAAAGCGTGCCACCCCAAACATCAATTGCAAAGCCAGCGACAAGCCTTGAAGTTTTTAAAAAGTGCACGTGCGCGGAAATGGAGCGCAGGACTGTGCCAGAGACTTTCCGGGACAACCATTAGCAAACATGTCAGTCATGTCAGCTTCAAACAGCATGTAAGCAGACGATGAGATGCTAGATGATGCGTCTGAAAGGGCTGCTTTTACCCGTCGCTTTGCGTTGGCTGCTAGCTGATTGCCCGGCTTGACTTCACCATCCACCACGTAGAGTGCAGACCCCTGCTCGCATCTTCATGGCTAACAAACCCTGGCAACACCCATCATGTTCCGTTTCATGAATCAAATGCTCTGTATGCAGAGAACGGTCGACATAACATAATGTACAGAGGTTTGCTATGATTGTGCGACACATCAGAGAATCCAAGCCATGAAGTGAGCCCCCAAAAGTGCAACTCTGCAAGCCGCCGAACGCTTAGAGACTTGCTGACATTTTGATAATGTTGACATCTGTGTTGAGGGGGGACTGTCGCACAGAATCCCACCTGTCGAGTTCGACCATGTCTGATGTGCCTGAGGTCATGTCTGAGATGTCGGAATACGACCTGCTGACATTAGAGTGTCCGAGCTTTGTTTTTGTGCAAGGGTATGGGCAAGTGCATTTCAAGGTCTGTTTGACACCGAAGTCCTTGACAGATGTATCTACATATCAACAAGCATCATCAGCAGCACCACCAACGCGGTGCCACGATGCAATCCTACTACATATTAGAAGATGAACAGATTGATTACAAATTCTCCACTGAGTTCAGCAGCTGTACCACACCGGACTGATCTTGAAAGTTTTCTCGGCCAGGCATGTCAAGAAAATGGCGAGGTGGATCGTGAAGCTTCAAGGTCCAGTGATGCACTGCCAGGAGAAGTCTAGCGCTAGTCTGAGTCGGCATCAGGCGGCGATCAGTCAGCTGAGGCTATTGAGTCAAAGGCACCTCAAAATTCTCAACCTGTCCACTTGAGCCGCCTTGACACCACCAGAATGTAGCACAGAGATTTGTTGCAGGCTCAGGACTTGCTGTGTCCTCAGGTTTTGCTGACGTTTGAGCGCCAGTGACGGGACAGCACCCAGGCTGCATGACGTCATTGCGAAGAAGTTCGGCGAGAGCTTTGATCCAGCTCGCATGGCTCTAAGTGCAGTCCGTAGTATTTCAGTGTCGGAACTGCAGCCTACAAGGTGCCAGCGATGGAAGTGGGCGTGAATGGTCTTGACCCCGGTGGTGCACAAGAGAGTTCCGACAGCGACTGCACTTCCACAACGAGGCAGGCGCAGTTCCGGAATGTTCCCCAATACAGACAAGTGGTCTACCGGCTCGCCGGGGAGTCCAGAGGCCCGGGGCGCTGGACATATTAAAGAGCTTGATTCTGTTCGTTTGGCTATGAGCAGTTTTCGGCAAACTCGTCTCCTTTTTCACTTACGTTTCTTCCTTCACTGCAAGAGTTATCTCAGTCAGCTATGGGCGCCTCCACTCTTTTGGTCCTTGCCGCCGTGTGGCGTGCCAGAGAGTTATCGAACAACATAAATGTTGAGGCAACCATTTCTTCCTAGGACCAACAGCCCCAGTGACCCTCACTACGGAGATTTGTCCAGCACAGACTGTGCATCGGAAGTACCCAAGTTCGTTAATCAATGCTGCGCATGACTTGCAGTTCTTCCTTTCTGGGATCGGGGAGTGATGAGCTACATCATCAGTACTTTGCGTGTTGCCAATCAGGGCGGTCGTTTCATGATTGCTGAACCTTTGAGGTAGGGCAACCCAATGGTACGCTCCGGCAATATATCTGTTCGCACGAAGCTGCGCAATTGGAAGGCTAGCGGGAATTGAGACTGTTTGGAGCCTTGTGAGGCAGACAGTCAGCTTGGGTCCAGCAAGTATTGAGGGAGATTGCGGAAGATCAGGCCCGGCCAACAGGCTTGCATGGCTTAGTTGTGCGCGGAGGAACTGTCCGCACCAGGCTCTCAGGCCGGAGCTCCTGGACCACGAAGCCACATCGGAGAATTTCACGGCGTGCTTGCCTGACCGCTCTTTGTGGAGTTTCTTTCGGAAGTTCCGTGCCCGAGGTTCACGGAAAAAATGGACATTCTCTTGACCAACTACCTTCATGCCGCCAGAGACGGAGCGGACGTCAGGCATGTCACGCTCATGTCGGACTTTCCTCGCTGTGGCCCAGAACCTCTCAGTGTCTGCCGAGGGAGAGCATGGGCAGATTCTGCCAGCACGCGGCCTATAAGCAGCATACTTACTTGCTGGAGCCCAAGAAGCGACCCTGATCACAGCCTTGCGGGAAAGAGCCTACCTGGCTGCATCTGAGGTACGCTCAGGCCATGCTTCAGCAACTGCGAGGATGTGCTGACAATCCACCACGAAGACAGGTCTTTTGGCTTCTTTTGCCCGCAGGAAAGTGCCCACGTCAACACCAAGCCCTTCTTGCACTTAGCCAGGCGCACGCTATACTGACACCTCTTGCGGACTCGTGAGTTGCGCACGCAAATATCTTTCAGAGCTTACAGAGGCCTTGACATCTGCCGGGATACAGCAGTTTCCTAATCATGTGATGGACTTGGACTTTGGCCGTGCAAATCGTGAGTCTCCTTGGACAGAATTGGCGGTGAAGGTCCCCCGCTTCGACTTGAGCCTCAGCGGGGCGCGGGCCTTAATCTTGATTGACCGGTGAGAAATGGAAAGCCCGAAGCGCTAGGATGAAGAGGCAAAGGACCTGACTGCCGTCCTCTTATCCGCGTGCCCGCCCTACGATACACACTGCTTTCCGGCTTTGGCCTGCGAATGCCTGCAATCAAGCAGGTCTCGA